CGCGCTCGCCTAGCATGCGCGGGGCGCTGGGTTCGATCCTCAGCACCACATAAAATGAAAAATAAAGATGTGTCCGCCAAAAACTGAAAAATAAATATTAAAAAAAATTCTCTCTCCTCTCTAAAAAAAAACAAAAAACAAAGCCAGCCTCAGTATGGCGAGGCGCTAAGCAAGTCAGTGAGACCCTCCCTGTCTCTATATAAAAGGCAAATAGGGTTAGGGATGTGGTCATGTGCCCCTGAGTTCAATTCCTGGTACAAAAAAAAAAAATGTATTGGGTGGCCTGGAGCTGTGGCTCAGTGGTGGAGGAGCCTTGCCTACATGCATGAGGTTCCAAGTTCCATCCCAGACACTAGGAAAAAAAAAAAAGCAGGAGGTACCTCTCAGCCTCTGGTGAGTGATTGGAGCTAGGGGTGGAGGGGGAAAGGTCTGGCCAGGATTCATCACTGCATTCAACAAATACGAAGTCCCATGGGGGTAGGGGAGAGGGACAGGTGTGGGTAACGAGCTGAGAGCATCATCCCAGATGTAAATGGGCAGGATCGGGCTCATCCCATGAAGGGCTTGGCTGTATTTCCGCTGAGTCCTGAATGTAAAAAGCCAGTCGTGGGAAATCTGGAAGAGTGTTCCACGCAGAGGGAGCACAGGAACAAAGGTCTGAGCTGGGTATGAACTTGACACACTGAAGAAGGAGAGGAAAACCCAGTCTAGCTGAGTGTATGAGTGAAGCGACAGTGGGCAGATGGGCCCTGTAGGGGTTTTGTGTTTTGCAGCACTGGGGACTGACCCCAGGGATGTTCTACCACTGAGCTATATTCCCAACCCTTTTTATTTTTGAGACGGTGTCTTGTTAAAATTGCTGAAGCTGGTCTTGAATTTGCAATCCTCCTGCCTCTGCCTCCCAACTGACTGGGATTACACAATGCCCAGCCATTAGAGGGTTTTAAGCCAGAGAGCAACACATGGTACTGCTGAGGACATTGACCTCAGGCTTCTCTCGGTCTTCAGCTCAGCTGGCTCTGGGCATCAGTCCCTCATCACTAGGCATCACTGCCAGGGGCCCTGACTCTGGACCAGCTTTGGTATCTGGCTACTTCATCTCAGCTACTTTCCAGTTCCTCTGCCTCTCCTGGGTCTGAACTCATGGCTGTCATTGCCCGGGTGGCATCCAGGCCTCTAGTCTGTCCACCTGTCTGAGGGATCTCATTTCCACACCCATTGCTTCAAGTTGATCTGCCTCCCTGTGCTGATTGTGCTGAACTCTGCCCAGGCCGCTCACCTGCATCCTAAGCCCCCCCCCCCCACCTGCTGTGTCCTCTCCAGGGAGTCCCCACCAGGCCCTAGCACCCCAGGAATTCCTCCTCTGCCCTCCTAGTTAGGAGCATCACCAGCAGCCCAGTCACCTGGGAATCATCCAGTGTAAGGTGATCTGAGGACTGGGTTTGCCACAGACTTGGCAACAAGGTTGATGCCCTTGACCTGACTGACTGGCTGGGGCTTCAGCCTGGAGAATGGCTCAAAGGTGGTAGACTTGGTGGAAGGACCACGTAGAAGACGGAGCAAAAAGTATGCCCCATTCCAGGCCACGGTGAAGGTGGGGGACAGGTGTTATTCTGGGTGCAAGGAGAAGCTAGGAGAAGGTTTTAAGCCTGGGGTCCTATTGGCTCCCCCTCAGGGTCCCTAGGCAGGGCTGCCCATGCCTCGATCTCACCCACCCTCCCCCAGCCTGTGTACGTGTGTGTGCGCGTCCACCTGAGCTTCCATCCACTCTGTCCGGCTGGTGACTGTGTCCCTGCTCTGAGGAACTGAACATGATTGAACCATGAAGAATGCATGCATTAATCAGAGTGCTCGGGGCTAGGGTTGTGGCTCAAACGGTAGTGCGCTTTCCTAGCATGCGTGAGGCAATGGGTTCGATTCTCAGCACCACATAAAAATAAAATAAAGACATTGTGTCCACCTAAAACTAAAAAATAAATATTAAAAAAAAATAAAAAATCAGAGGGCTCTACCCTGGAAGGGACCTTAGGTCCACCTGTTTCACCAGAGGCCCTAAAAGGAGAAGCACCTTGCCTGCAAAGCCACTCTAATGGAAGGGCAGTGGAACCTACTGGACCACAAGGGTCCCAGCCAGTCAGTAGCTCCATGTTCCCAGCTGCAGAATTTACCCACATGAGATCTGTGGGCCTTATCATAGACTGAAGTGTGCACCGCAAAATCCATATATTGAAGCCCTAATCCCACTGGGACTGTATTGGAGATAGGGTTTTTGTTTGTTTGTTTGTTTTTAAGTATTGGGGGTTACCCCCAGGGTTGCTTTACCACTGAACCATAGCCCATGCCCAGCCTTTTTGTTTTTTATTGAGACAGGGATTAAGTTGCTGAAAGTCTTGCTAAATTACCGAGGCTGCCCTCACACTTGGGTCCTCCTGCCTCAGCCTACCAAGTCATTGGGATAACAGTGGTATGCCAGTACAGGGGGACAGGGGGTCACCGGGGATTACACTCAGGGGCACTCAACCACTGAGCCACAGCCCTAGCCCTATTTTGTGTTTTATTTAGAGACAGGGTCTCATTGAGTTACTGAGCACCTCGCTAAATTGCTGAGGCTGGCTTTGAACTCTCGATCCTCCTGCCTCAGCCTCCCAAGCCGCTGGGATTACAGGTGTATGCCACGGCGTCTGGCCTTGGAGATAGATCTTTCGAAGAGGTTGTTATAGCCAGGTATGGAGGCACAGGTCTGTAATCCCAGCCACTCAGGAGGATGAGGTAGAAGGATCAAAAGTTTTAAGGTTGGCCTGGGTTCGATCCTCAGCACCACATACAAAGATGTTGTGTCTGCCGAAAACTAAAAAATAAATAAATAAATGTTAAAAATTCTCTCTCTCTCTCTTTCAAAAAAAAATCTTAAAAAAAAAAATAAAAGGGCTGGGGATGAAGTTCAGTGGTAGAGCCCCCTTAGGTTCAACTGCAAATTTTTTAAAAAAGAGAGGTAATTAAGCTTAAATGAGATCATAACTGTGCCCTAATCCAAAAGGACTGGTGATCTTAGAAGAAAAGGAAGAAACACCAGGAGGGTGAACCCAAAGAGGAGGTCCTGTGAGGACATGGAGAGGGGGTGCCTCACCAGAAACCAACCCCTGCTCTTAGATTTCCAGTCTCCAGAACTGTGAGAAGATGAATTCTGTTATTGAATCGTCCAGTCTTTGGCACAGCAGTCCAAGCTAATCAGATCCCAGTTTCAGAACTGCCAGTGCTCTTGTTTAAGGTGCAGACTCTCAGACATCGCTCCCTCTCAAGAAGCACCTCTCAGGGTCGGAGGCCGAGAGTCCCGGGGTCCACATTTATCAGCTCTGCAGGCTTCAAGCGTCCATAAGCTCACTGTGGGGCAGTGAAGACCGAAGCCCTAGCCTCTGGCCACCAGTTCCTCTGACCACCAGCCTCCCTCTGTGCGCAAGAGAATGTGACGGCTGCCGGGTGACAAGCTCACTGTCAGGTTGCTTTGTTTTCTCACACCTTCACTGGGCTCCCCAAGCCAAGCCAGGGCAGAGCTGGACGTGAAGCCTGGATACCCAAAGACAGTTCATATCTGAGCCCCACCATGGGGCACGCCCAGCCTGTGAAGAGAGCCACACTGCTGTGGGCAGCCTGACTGTGGGCAGATGCACGAAGAGCTGCAGGAAGGGAACCATCTGACCCAGTCAAGTAGGCAAAGAATCCTGTGGGAATCCTGTCGGGATGGTGCCTGGCTGCAGTGTAAGCAAGTTGAAGGAGCACCCTGTCTGACGCATCTTCCGTTCCTACCCACACCCCAGACATAATGGTCTCACTCACTTGTGGATTTGTGGCCTCTGGCTGCATTTAGCTTCACTAAGACAGCCTTCCTCATGGCTGGGGGCGAAGATTTTAAAACACAAAACCCACTCTGGCAGAATAGACATGTACTTTATAGAGTCAGGTACCAATGGGTTCTGAGACAAGTTTTTCCACTGACTAGCTGTGTGGTGTGACCTCACAAAAGTCATGTTATGTCTCTATTTCTTCATTGGTAAAAGAGGGATGATGCTATTATTTACACTAAATGTAATGTTTATAGAATTAAGTGAAGTCATCTCTGCTAAGTCCCACTGCCTGGCCTTAGCTCATTTCTTACAAAGTAAGGTCCCTTAAAGTCCTCGCCTGACTTGAAGACGTTGCAGAAAGGTAGTGGTAAAAATTAAATGTAGTAGATACCTCTCAGTAGGGGCCCACCTGCACCCTTTCAACTCAGGAGTGTTTACTGAGCACCCACTTTCTGGATAGCAGGTGGAGTGGCCACGATTGGACCACAGACGCAGGGCTGAAAAGTCGGCTGCAAACAAAACTATACATATATAGTTTTGTTTTATATATATATATATATATATATATATATATATATATATATATGAATCAACATCTAAAAAAAAGAAAGAAAGAAAAGTCTGCTGCAGGAGGCCAGGACTGCTTGTTCCCCTGTCTATTCTCAGCACCTAGAACGCAGGACACAAGGTAGATGCTCTTTTTTTTTTTAATGAAAAGAATGAATCAAACAATAGATGAACAAATGACCATCCAGAGGCCTCTGGCTCATTTTTAAGACCTCCTGCAATTCCCTTGAACTCTCCGAGCTTCTGTTCCCCGTCTGTGACGCCAGAGGTGTCTTAACTCAGGAGGCTGCTGAGCAGCAGTGTTGGAAAGAATCCTAAAAAGTAAAAAAAAAAAAAAAAAAAAAGGCACTTTATAGAACAGGAAGCTGAGACACAGCGAGGCGCGGGAGGCTCCTGGACAGAGGGGCATTTGATCAAGTTTTGGAGGGAAGACGGGCTGGGACGGAGCAGTGGCCCAGAGAAGCCATTCATTGCGCGGCGCTCGCTGCAGACTACTCTGCGGGAGGAGCGGACGCCGCCAGCCGCTCAACCCCGCCCCCTGCGTCTCCGTGGCAACGGACCCGCACATGCGCTGCAGGGGCTGGAGGAGAGCGCAGAAGCCGCGGCGGAAGCAGGTTCCGCTGCGGCGAGGCGCGGCACGGAGCGGCGCAGGGCGGGCTTTTAAAGGGACCGTCTCCACCCGAGCCCACTCGCCGGCGTGGACTGCTGGCTGTGAAGGTTAGGTGGCCTCAGGAGTCGGGCAGAGTGACCCCCACCCAAAGGTGATGAGGGAGAGAGGGGTTGTGTAAACACCCTCCAAAGCAGTAATGGGATGGCTGTCCCCAGGGAGCATTGCGGAGGCCAGGGCGCAATGTGATGGCATCTTCAGATGGGGAGCTGGGGCTACAGTAGAGTCGGAGGTTAGGAAGGATCACAGGTCCAGCTTGAGACCGTCACCCCCGCTTTCACCCCCACTCCTAGCACTCTGCACCCGTCTACCTAGTTGGCATGCTCAGTTATGGCCAGACCTCCCGCGCACGGTTCGGTGATTGTCCCAGAATGGCACGAGACCACCGAGGGTAAGGAGTACTTGGCCTGCATCCTGCGCAAGAGCCGCCGTCGGGTGTTTGGTAAGTGCTCTCGCCCTCAGCCTGTCAGTTGTCACTCTGGGGAGGCTGTGTCACCTGTTGCTTGGGGGATGGTGGGTATAGAAAGAAGCGAGGAAGTGAGGCCCTGCTCCACTGCACTCCTTGGCTTTGGTGATTCCTGGAAGCCCCATCCCTGGACCCCCACCCTCAAGTCTCCTTAGAACTAATTCCATCAACAGAGCCAGGAACATGGAAACAACCTAACCTGCCAGCAGCCATGGTCACCAGAGATGCTGTCCATTGAGCCCTCACTTGGTGCCAGGCCCTCTGCTGGGCACTTTACCCTGTGAACTCCCATCTTAGCTTCTCTAACAGTATTTTACAGACTTGCCCAGGATGTGCCCTAGTGAGCACAGAGCTCTTCCACGTCCTTATGCCAGAGATAAGACACTGGTACCCCCCAGGCTGAAGCCAGCTCACCCAAGCTAGCTAGACTTCACTGCGGCCAGGAGAGACCAAGTGCCAACAGGCTTTCCACCAAAAAATGAGAGGGCAGTCCCTAGCTTAGGATTCTCGGCCCTTAGCCTATAAATGTGTCATAATTTTGACTCTTTTTTTTTCCAATTTTTAAGTTTAAAGCCCCCCTAAAGATTTCTATAGATTGACTTTGTATGGGGTTCATTTGTAGTAATTGAAAACACTTTTGCTTATATTGCCTTATTAAGAAGGATCTGGGGCTGGGGTTGTGGCTCAGTGGTAGAGCACTTGCCTAGCATATGTGAGGCACTAGGTTCAATTCTCAGCACCACATAAAAATAAATTAATAAACAAAATAAAGGTCCATTGACAATTAAAAAAAAAAAAAAAAAGAAGGATCTGTGAGAAACCACGCCTCTGTGTGTGGGAAATCCAGAGCATGTCATAACAGTATTAATAAAACCAACCCCAAAAAGTTGGGCATTATTTGCAGTGGCCCAGAGCTGGCTCACAGAACCCCAGAGTTCCAGGCAGACCTCTGACCTAGAATCCTCTTCAAATGCAGGTTCCGAGCCAGTGGGTCTGCGTAGCTGAAATGTTTGTTTAGCTCCCAGGGAACAGCGGTGCCATGGTCCATGGACCACACTCGGAGTGGCAAGGAACTAAGGATTTCAGATTCTGGACTTAAACTCTGTCCAAAAGATAGGATCCTTCTTAATCTCAGGAACCTCATTTTAGTATCTCTTGTACATGTGAGGGTCGGACTGGAGTCATTTGTTACTATTGAGAGCTAACAGGCCAGGGTTTGTAAACATTTTATTTTTTTTTTATGGGGAGGAGGGGTACTGCTAGGGGTTGAATTCAGGGCACTTTCACTGAACTACATCCCCAGTCCTTTTTACTTTTTATTTAGAATCAAGGTCTTGCTAAGTTGCCCGGGCTGGCTTTGAATTTGCGATCCTCCTGCCTCAGCCTCCAGAGCTGGGACTTACAGGGGTGTGCCACCATGAATGTCTTCACTACTTTTTTTTAAAGAGATGAGGGTCTACTATGTTGTCCGGCCTGACCTTAAACTCCTGGGCTCAAACATCCAACCTCAGCCTTACAAGTAGCTGTGATTACAGGTGTACACCAACATGCCTGGTGTGATTTCTTTTTTTCTTCTTCAAGAAATTAAAACACATTTGAAGTATGACTCCAGTATGGCCTTTATCTCTCTCCATCCCATGGTGGCAAGAATACTGGATTTGGGGTCATTCAGACCCTGGCTTGACCCAGGCTATGCCTGCCTAGCCTATGACTGTGGATAGTGAATGCTAGGTTCCTCCTCTGTGAGCTGGGAGAATTGTGGTCTTTGCTCAGTGGAGGGGAAATAAAGAAGTGTGTAGGGATCACGCTGAGCAGTGGTGTGCAAAGGGTCGGCTTTTCTTGTATTTCCTTATGTCATCAGTTGTGTGAGGGAAAGAATTGAGTTAAGGTAGAGAGATTTTCTAGGAATCCTTAGAGCCACCAAACTTATAACCTATGTCACAGCAGTATCCAATACCCAGAAGTTAGAGGGTCGGCAATAATGACTTTGAATTCCTATTTTGGGGATTAACAGCTGGATGTACCCACTCGAGTGTGTCATATCCAGGCCTCATTAAATAAGTATCTGTGAACTACCTTTAAGAACCTAGGCACAGGGATGTGCCACTATGTCACACATCTCTGTGTGTCCAAGGCTTCTTAAGAACTGGAACAAATATGGAGAACCACAGATGGTGGATTAGAAGCCCTTAGAGGGCTGGGGATGTGGCTCAAGCGGTAGCGCGCTCGCCTGGCATGCGTGCAGCCTGGGTTCGATCCCCGGCACCACATACAAATAAAGATGTTGTGTCCGCCGAAAACTAAAAAATTATTAAAAAAAAAAAAAAGAAGCCCTTAGAGATGAGGTTGTCCACTGGGGCAAGTGCAGGATGAACCCCCTGACTCTACCTGAGTCCCCCCCCCCCCCGCCCAGGGCTGCTTGAACGGCCAGTGTTGCCCCCGCCTGTGGCCATTGACACTGCCAGTTACAAGATCTTCGTTTCTGGGAAAAGTGGTGTGGGCAAGACGGCGCTGGTGGCCAAGCTGGCTGGCCTGGAGGTGCCCGTGGTGCACCATGAGACCACTGGTGAGTGAACCCACCCTTTGCCCATCCTTGGAGGCCTTCCCGGGAGTGGAAGACAGAACCTGGCTGTTGACTACGCAAGCTAGGGAGTGTATCCAACTCTACCACTTCCCCTGGGACCTTGGAAAGTCACTTCATCTCTCTGAGTCTTCTCTATCCCAAGGGGATAACAGTACCAACCCCACGGGAACGTCACAGAGCTGGAGCTGGTGATGGTAACATGCCCAGCATTGGGCTGGCACAAGGCCAGAGCTCAGGAAGTGTTCATCCTCCTGTCTTTCCACTGGACAGAGTCATGCATTGTGTGCATCCCTCAATGTCCCAGGACCTTTGGGCTCTCATACAGGCTGTGAAACTGCTTTATCATGGTAGGGGCTGCATCTTCCCAGTGCACCAGGGGCTCCTCCAGGGCAAGTCTCCCTTTCCCCCCAAGAAACTAAAAATTCTTCCAGGTCACGGACTGCGCCTTTCATTCAGACGGGTGACCCACCAGGGCAGGGATGTATCCCTTTTCTTATTCTTTATTGGTTACCCATTCCCCTACATTTCTCCCATGCTGAATGGCTGACCCTGGCCCCCCTCAGGCATCCAGACCACTGTGGTGTTTTGGCCAGCCAAGCTGCAGGCCAGCAACCGGGTCATCATGTTCCGCTTCGAGTTCTGGGACTGCGGGGAGTCTGCGCTCAAAAAGTTTGATCACATGCTGCTGGTGAGCAGGGCGGGCCCGGCAGGACCCTGGGAGCAGGCAGATGTCTGAGGAGCTCTGAGCTGGGCCCACCTCGTCTGCAGGACCCTGAGCAGGGCTTCAATGAGTTGAGGGTGGGCAGGGTGCTGGCGGCAGAGCTCTGAACTGGCATGGGACTGAGTCCCAGCTGGAGCTGTGCCACAGGACCAGCCACTCTGGGCCTCAGGTGGAAAGGAGGAGCGGTTTCTGATTCTTAGCCCCTTGCAGCCAGTTACAAGGTTCTGGTTGCGCGGGTGTGGGACGGCGTGGTCACGTGATGGTGTGCTGTGAGCCAGCCTCTCCATCCCCAGGCTTGCAAGGAGAACACAGATGCCTTCCTCTTCCTCTTCTCTTTCACTGACCGTGCCTCCTTCGAAGACCTGCCTGGACAGCTGGCCCGGGTAGCAGGAGAGGCCCCTGGTGTCGTCAGGATGGTCATTGGCTCCAAGTATCCTTTGGGTCGTCCCTGGGAAGGTCAGAGGCCACCCTTGACAAGGTGTGGAACGTGGGCTCAGGGACCCTGCCTCCGCCCAGCTGTGGGGCCCAGCCTTTAGGGAGGAGGGCAAAGCCTGGGTCTGATGGGGCCGTGAGCAGAGGTGCCTGGCCAGGCTCCTTGACCTTCCTCCAGATTCGACCAGTACATGCACACAGATGTGCCTGAGCGGGACCTCACAGCCTTCCGGCAGGCCTGGCAACTGCCCCTGCTGCGGGTGAAGAGTGTGCCTGGGCGGCGGCTGGCTGATGGGCGCACGCTGGATGGGCGGGCTGGGCTGGCCGACACTGCCCATGTGCTCAATGGCCTTGCTGAGCAGCTGTGGCATCAGGACCAGGTGGCAGCTGGCCTGCTTCCCACCTCTACAGAAAATACCCCCAGCTGAGGGGTGGCATCATGAGAGGACACCTATGATCCCCACTCCCAACCTTTATGTGACCCGGACCAGAGGGCAGCACCGAGGGCCTCCTGCTGGGGTGGAACACTGACCCCTCCTGAGGGCTGGCCACCAAGGGCCCGCTGCAGCGGCACCTTCTTTGCAGAGTACTTGGCTGTGAGTGGGGCACAGGGCTTCAGGCAGGGCCCGGAGCTCAGCTGTCTCCCCAGCCTCCTGCTACCCTTCCCCCTTCTGCAGCACCCAGCTTGGGGTGGACTGGGGGAGGGAGGCCGAGCAGGACCTGGACCTCACATGCCTTCAGCCAGGCACCTTCTTAATTGAAGTCACATGATCTGCTGTAACAGATAAACCCTGAAGCCTTGGTGGCTTAACTCTAGAAAGTGTTTTTTTCCTTGGGGCTGGGGCTGGGGCTGGAGCTGGGGCTCAGCGGTAGCGCACTTGCCTGGCATGTGTGAGGCACTGGGTTCGATTCTCAGTACCACATATAAATAAATAAAATAAAGGTCTATCAACAACTAAAAAAAATAATTTTAAAAAATGAAGTGTTTTTTCCTGCTTAGTTCTCACCTCAGGAGGAGGCAAAGGGCCAGTTGTCTACTCCATGTGCCCATCTGAAGCCCAGGCCCTGAGATCCTCCATATTTGCCCCAGGGCATCAATGGTCAGCAGACAGGAAATGAATCACACAGAAGATTTCTGTGGACTGGGCCTGGGGTGGACTTCCTGCCCACATTCCATTGGTCAGCACCTACTCACTTGGTCACCTGGAGCTGGGGAGGAGGCTGGGAGATTCATCCCACCTGCAGGTCCAGGAGGCAAGCCCTTCACTCTGGTGCCTTTCACAAAATCATCAGGCCGGCTGGCGTTGGGCTCAGTGGTGGAGCGCTCGCCTAGCATGGGTGAGTTCAATTCTTTTTTTTTTTTAATTTTATTTTTTAGTTGTAGTTGGACACAATACCTTTATTACACTTATTTATTTTTACGTGGTGCTGAGGATTGAACCCACGGTCTCAAATGTGTGAGGTGAGCGCACTACCGCTGAGCCACAACCCAGCCCTGAGTTTGATGAGTTTGATTCTTAGCACTGCATATAAATAAATAAAAGGTCCATCAACAACTAATTTTTTTTTAATTAAAAGAGCAACAACAACAACAACAAACAAAAAACAACATCAGGCTAGCCCAGGAGTCAGAAAGCACCGCTGAGCAGGACCAAGACCCTGCTAGGTGGGAGTCAGGTATGAGTTGTCCTAACAGGCCACTGGGCAAGATCAAGAGCAGGAGGGCAGTGAGCAGGCCCAGCCTTCGCTATTCCTGCCCGTTGGCTAGAGACACTGGTGAGCATAGGCCAAAGTGGGGTGATGGAAGGGGCCTTGATATTCTTACCCCTTGATCATATGCTGCCCCTGCTGGTCCCATGTGGACCCTGGCATGACCCAGCTGGGACCCTCAAAGCCAGCTGGCTGCAGAGCCCTCTCTTGAGAAGTCAGTCCCTAGCTCTCTGCACAGCCCTCGCTCACAGGTGACCAGCTACACCCCTGTGTAGCTGGCTCTTGGAGAAGTGTGGGGGCCATCCCATCCTCAAGTCTGGCAGGGGTAGGATCTGCATCTGAGGTCTCCAGGATGGGTGGGAGGAGAAGGTGACCAGGCACATGCCAGTTACACTGGCAGGGAGGCGGAGTCACCCCTCTGCAGCTCCTAAGTCCCAAATAAGGTGCCCTGTGTCTGCCAACAACAGTGCAGCCCTAGCGGCTGCCTCGCTGAGCTGGCTTAGGCTCTTCATCATCGTGGCAGCGAATGGCAGTAACATGGAGGAGCGCATCCTGCCTTGAGTGTGGGGAACAGGAAGGCAGGACAGGCTAGGCCTAGCCAGGCTGTGGGCAGGGATTTTATGAGAACTAAGCAGAAGGAAAGCTTGCCTGGGTGTCAGGAGACAGGCACAAGGCTAGCCCTGTCTCTTCTGAGCCTCAGTTTTCTCACCAGAACAATGGGAATAATGATACCTCTCAAAAAAGAGCAAAGAGGATTATGCAATGCTGAACAGGAGAGAGCTTTGAAACAGAGAGCTTCTGATTGCTATTTTGGGGAGAGAAGATTCCAGAGACCAAGAATGACTGATTATGTAGGATGCACTGAGTCCTGGAGCACTTAATAAGGAGAACTGCATTCCAGACTCAAATGATGATTTCAACCCCGGCTCTACCTCTTAAAATTTGGGGAGCCTTGGGCAAAGTCTCTAGGTCTCTGATTCTCCTCTGTCAGGTGGGAATATCGTGCTGACTCTAAGGAGTGTTGGAGGAATAGAAATGGTCGTTCCTGACACAGGATATTGTTACAGCTATTATCAGGTTTCCCTGCCTCTGCTGCAGGAGGCTGAAGGCCCAGAAGCAGCAGGGGCAGCTGGCAAGGATGTGGGACATCTAGACAAGGCAGGAGCTGCAGCACTCAGAGAACTATGAGCTCATCCAGTGCAAGGGCCTGCTTGATGAATACCTGGGGATAGGTGAGCAGTGACCCTGCAGTATGGGTGTGTGCATGGGGCATGGGGGACCTGACACACTGGGGAGCTGGCCCAGGCCTGAGGCTCCCTGTCTCCCAGTGCTGCAGCTTGAGTTCATCACCATCTTTGTGGTGGCCTTCCTGCTGACGCCCCTGTTCTCTCTGCTCAACAATGAGATCCCAGTTTCCTGTGTGAGTACCAGCAGCCAGTGGCCAAAAGGCACAGGGGTTTAGGGCATCTGTCTGCTCCTGCTAGAGGCCACGGACCACCTGTCGGCAATGGTGAATGTGAGCACAGTCAAGGGGAGGGGATACAGGATCGGAGGGGAAACAGAGGTCAGAGATGGGGGCAGGGGGTGTTGGGGGGCAGGGCCCACATGATAGAGAAATGGGAGATGGAGTTGGGATAGCAGTCATAGGTTTGGAAGTCTCAGAAGGTAGGCGCATCCTGCTGCGAGAGTGGGTCTGGACCCGAATGGGGAGTGAATTAGAGCACTTGGCCTTGAAGACCTTCGTGCCCTGCAGGCTTTCCTTGTCGCTTTCACCTTGGACTTCCTGCCTGGTCTCCAAGACTGCCACAGCCAACTGTCCTCTAGGTATATTTCAGGCTGGCGCCTGCGCCCTTCGCCTACCTGCAGGTGGGGGACTCATCAGGCCGCAGAGCAGGGAAGCGGCTGGAGACGCGGTCATTGACTTGGGAGGGGCAGGTGGGTCCGGAGGGCCCAGGCCTGTCTAGGAGTAGCCGGTGCTGAGTCCAAGCGGGGCGGAAAGTCTGAGAACCGCAGGGCAGGAGCCTGGATTGGCCGGGTGGAGGTGGTGTTGGATGGGGCGGAGTCTAAATCCGGGCGGGACCGAGCCTTAGGGTAGCGGGGCGCGGCTCTGAGATTCCTGAGGTTCCTGCGGGGACCCCTGGATGCAGACTCCTCTAGACAGGCATTTGTTCGGTTGATGGGGTTGGTGTTTTGAAGGGGCAGGGCCGGGTTCTAGGACCTGGAGGGCCCGGAATGTAGGCCTCCGAGTCGACAACTGAAAGCTTCTCCTGACCCCTCAACCCAGCTTCAAGGCTTTTGTGCAGGGAAACCGCACCTTCTTCTCCTGGAAGCTGCGGGTTGTGCGTCTAGACTTCATCGTCGCCTTGAGGAAGGCTCAACCTGTCTCAGATCTGGTTCGAGTTCAGGCACTGCCGCCGACCTGCTGTAAATGGGGCTATATTTTATAATGGGGACCTGCTTCGCAGGGTCGTTATGAAGACTCAGTGTCAAACACTCGCACAGTGCCTGGCACACTGTAGGTACACAATGACTTAACTCTGCTAATAATAGTATATTTGGGAAAAGACCTGGAGAAAGGAGAGGAAGCATGCACCCTCCCGTTTTGCTTAAGACCCCCTTTCAACAGCCCTGCCTCCAATAGGGTCTCTAGTGAGCGCTGAGGGGTTTGAATTATTCCTCTGTGTCTTTGGGCAAATCACACCTTTATGCTTCTGTTTCTTCATCTGTAAATGGGAGTGTCAGTTATACTCACCTCATGGAGTTGTGAAGATATCCAGAAAACCCTCGGAACACCTCCTCGTACATAGTAAGCGCACCATAAACTAAGATTACTAAAATAATCATCTGGCTTTGGCCGCCCCTGCCCCTTCTCCCCAGCACGTCTGCGCCTCATTGCCTGGCTCGTGCCGAAGGTGCCGCCGCCCTGGCCAAGAAAGAGCGTGAGCGCTACCTAGCCAACAGGTGCTGGCGACTAACTGGCCGGCGCCGCTTGCTGTCCGCACGGCGGGGTGGGCGGGGAACCTGGCCCTGCCTGAACAGCGTGACTACGCCTCTTGGCCATCCCCCGCTAGTTTCAGCCCGTTCTAGCCCCGTGGTCTTGCTGTCTTCTCCCTGGAGCAATTGGCTGGATTCCCCACATTTCCGCCTGGTCCCGCCTCCCGTGAAACCCCGCCCATACCACGCCCCTTCATTTACATACGCACCCCAGGAGGAGGCTTTCGGCTCTGGAGGTCAGCCTACGCAACCTGGACAAGTTTTACTCCCTCTGGGGCTGCTGTCCTCTGAGCTCAGGACGCAGGAACAACTGAAGACCCTAGATTCCCCAGGATGTTCTTTCGATGGGGGCCCTCTGGCTTCCAGGTAGGGATCCGAGCAGTGCGTTGGCCAGGAATGAAACCATTGGGGTTCTCTCTGTGTTCCCTGCCTCTTGCTCTTTTTGAAATGCTGACAGTAAATCTATCTCTGTGTCCCAGTGTGCGACCTCTCCATGGCCACCTAGTCCCCACCCGCCTTGGGCAGCGTGTCCTCACTATGTGATGCTGCTCTAGGGGAGGAGGTGGATATGGACACAAGGAAGCAAGCATCCTAATGATTCGGAACACAATGGTCGTCATTGGCTGCTAAAGGAGCGTTCTTTGGAGTCTGAGCCATGAAGCAAGCCTGCCCTGTGTGTCATCAAAACCCATAGTGTATGAACCACACTAAAAGGGTTTAGCTAGTCAGCAGAGACATCTCCCAACAGACTTACACTGTTTATGGGCCCCGCCCAAAACCCTGGTGAGGCAGTGCAGGGGCGTGGTTAAGGATATAGGTTGGTGGTGGGGTCAGGCAGATTTAGGCTTCATTACTACTTCATTATTAGTTCATTACTACTAATTATGTGGCCTTGGGCAAGTTATTTAATCCCTTGAACCTCAGTCTCATCATCTGTAAGATAGAAACTTCATAGAACTGATGAGATATTCAAATGAGATAACTGCCTGTGTGATTTTACCTATGAAAGCTCCAGACCTGCTAAGTGACAGCGGCCACTGTGTCAGCCTCATAGGTCCTGGTAAAGATAAATGAATGAAGAAATGCATGTAAAGTGCTCAAAAGAGTGCCTGGTGCATAGTAAATGTGCAATACAAGTTATTAGCAATGTATTATTTTTTGTATACATAACTTTTTTTTTTCTTCCATAGCTGGGATCAAACCTAGGGCCTACACAGCCCAGGCAAGCTCTACCACTGAACAACATCCCAGCCCAAATCATATAATAATAAGTGCTTGGCATTTGCAGTGTTCAAATTAATGGCAGGTAGTGGGGCTGGAGTTGGGGGGAAGCAGCTTCCCCTTTCACAAGCTTTGGAAAATTATAGGCCAGATACAGAGCAGCACAAAGAATCCTTATGGAGGGTGGTTGGGTTTAGGCTATCTTAATTACTTTACTGAGGGCTCAGTCCGAGAAGGCTTTGTGATGGAGGGTCTATGGGAGATGGTGAGGTGGGTCATTCCAGGTGACAGGAAAGGATGAGTAATTTGTGAGAAGTGGCCATGCTAGAAAGGCCATCCAGGATGAAGCCAGATGTCACATTGCCAACTGTCAGCACCGATTTCTATGTCTCAACATCAGAACTGAGTATTCCCATTTTATATATGTGTTATTAGGCTCAGAGAGGGTCAGTGGAGGTCTCAGAGTTCCTGAGGATTCCAAGGCTTGGGAGATTCTCTGTGAGGCTCCCAGGATGCTCTCCAGCCCCCAGGAGTCCCCTGAGCACACCTTGCATACGAGAAGCTCCAGCAGAGGAGTAACCTGTCTCCCAGGAGAAGCAGCAGTGCCTCCCCCATCTTTAGGACGTCTGGGGTCCTTCAGAGCCTCTCGTGCAGGCATAGGACTCCCATTGTTCCAGCCCCCTCTGTACCCCAGACTGGCCAAACCGGTTCTGAGGAAGGGGGGCGGGGAGCAGGCACGTTGAGACAGCCGCCTGCCTCTCTGCAAGGTTCCCTCCGCCTTCCCCCCGCCCTGCCCCACACAATACCCAGCAGTTTGCCTTGCCGGGCTCAGGGGCCATGCTGACATCGCCCCCTGAGGACTTGGCTGCAACCCCAGAGCCCCCAGGGTGGCCTGCAGCCCTGGACTGTGCCCGCAGCTGGACGGAGCTCCCTGGCTGAGGTAGGGCCCCCAGGGTGCCAGCAGCCCCATCCGCCTCCCACCAGTCTTCCCCAAGTGAGTCCTTTGTGCTGCCTGCCTGGCCTCTGATCTTGGCCCCAACACACTTATGGCCTCCTGGGGATCTGCAGACCACTTGGCCTGGATCCCCTTTCTAGCCATGACCCTCCCACTTGTTTTTTGTCCTTAGGGGGCAGGATCCCTCTTCCTGTGGGCTGCAGGGCTAGGGGCACTAGGCAGGAGCAGGGAAAAGACCGTAGTAGTGTCCAAGGACGCTCTCTGCCAGCCTTGCCAAGTGGCCTATTGCCCTCTGTGACTGGCAGTGCCCACCGGATAGGACTCTCCCTGGCCTCTGCCTATCCTTTTTGTACTGGAGAAATATTTATGATGACACAGGTTTCTTAGAGGGAGCAGCTGGGGCTGGGGACTTTGGGACACTTTGAAGGTGGGGATACTGAGGCCCACAGATGGGCCATGACTTGTCTAAGGTCACACAGAGCTGATTAGTGCCAATGTGGGGCCTTGAACCTTGTCTAAGGTCACACAGAACTGATTAGTGCCAATATGGGGCCTTGAACCTTTGATTGGGTTTTTTCCCTTTGGGTTCTAGAATGGCCACTGGTCTCTCCTGAGGTTATGTCCTGGGCAGGTAGTGTCCCTGCTGCCTGGGCCCAGTTCTCTCCCTCAGGTTTTCTTTTCTTTTTTCCTAGCAGAGATGAGCTACACACAATATGAACGCAGCTCTGCCCCTACCTGATCCCCAGCATTGAGGTTGGGTGGCCACACCAGAGCTGGGTGGATCATTCCCTTCACCCCTCAGCCTGGGCGTGGGGTGGGTGGAGGCTGCTCACTCCTGACCGCCCACTCAGGACCTGCCTTCAGCCCTCTCCTGCCGTCCCCCTTCCCTCTGCCCACACTCACCAGGCTTTTCCCCAAGGCCTCAATTGGAGGTGCCTCTGCCCCAAGACTCAATATTTGGCTTATTTATCCCTGTAAATTATGGAGGTTGCCTCTCCCTGTCTTCCAGGGGCGTCTAGAACTCAAATAGAATTTCCTCTAATACAGAGAGCAGGGGAATGCATGAACTGTGCTGAGGACTTCTTATTCCTGGAGAGAAAGAAACTTATCTGAAGGGCAGAGGCCACCTGGGTCCCCACCCACATGCTCCTAAGATGTCATGTGTATCTTCATTTTTACCATCTGGCTGATGACCCAGACCATCCCCCAATACCATAAAGACTGATGAAATAATAATGATACTCTGGGGAATGACCGTGAACAACAAGCTCCACTCTGCCCTCGGTGCTTCACCTCTACGGTGCCTATTCTCTCATTAGCACTGTCAAGTTGGTGTCTCTCTCCTGTTTGCCAAATGAGGAAACTGAGGCTTAGGGAAGTACACTCAGATGGACAGAGGCTCCAGGTACAAGCTAGAGGCTCGACCCCAGGGAGGCTCCTTAGGAGCAGCTGGTTCCCACCTGGCCAGGGTAAGAATGGGGAAGCAGCTCTAGGTGCTCTGGGTCCTGGGGATTTTGCATTAGCTGTTACCATGACCTCCTCCAGGAAGACCTCCAGGATTCCCAGGTTGAGTGAGCCTGGCACACTACTCAGATGTGCCTCTGGCTTGGCTCTTGCCAATCTGGATTGTAACTGTTTTCATTCTTGGCTCTCCCACCAGATTGGCAAGCCCACGGGGCATGAATTGTTTGTCCATCTGTCTTCCAGGGTTTTTCTGGGCTTCATGTCTGTCTCTGAGTATCTGGACTGTCTGAAATTTTTTGTGTCTCTGTCTGCATCTCTGGGTCCCCGAATGTCTTAGCATCTGTGGTTTTTCTGTTTGTCAGCATTCAGGGTCTCAGTTTCTGAGTTGCTGTCTAAATAGTCTACATTTCTCTGGGTCTCCCTCTGAGTTTCTTGGCCCTGCCAGACTGGGCACTGCCCATTTGGCCAGAAGGGACCTCTGGGGGGTCCTTGCTGCCCAGCCTGCCCACAGTGAGGCCAGGCTAGGGTAGGCCCCCGCCCAGCCCGCTGCCTGCTCCCTCCTCCCTCCCGGCTTGCCTCACCACAGGGTTTGATGAATCAAACTCTTTGTCTGGGTGGGATCTCCCCCAGCCAGCTGGGCAGAGAGAGGGCTTCCCCTGCACAGCAGCCCGACAGCATCAGCAGCTGGAAAGGTGAGGGGCAGGAGGGTGGTAGTGGAACGCCCTGGGGCAAAGGCCGTGGGGGCTTAGACCCCTCAGATCATGGTTCTACCCCAAGGCTCTGGCAGGCTCCCGGGATGACGTCCTGCCCAGAAAGAACTCAATTAGCCTTGCTTGATCCAGAGGCTAGGAGCCAGGGTGGGAGAAACCCCCCCCTGACCCCAAGCTGGGGGGCTAGGCCACCTCTCTCCCCTTCCCTGGGAGGGCCCCGCCTAATCTGGGTTGGCGGCCTGCCTTCCAGCCTGTGACCCTCCCAGCCAGCTTGGCATGGGTGTGGGCATCACTCAGCACTGAAGGCCGCCACTCGGGGGGGGGGGGGGGGAGGGGGGTTGGGTCACACCAAAGCAAGGACTAGTGGGCCCGTGCATTCATGTCTGCATCCTGGGGTGTGCATGTGTGTGACTGGAACAGAATGGGAAAGTGTGTGTGTGTGTGTGTGTGTGTGTGTGTGTGTAAACATCAGATGGGTCAGCGCATGTTTGGGAGAAAACACCTATATAGATGTTTGATTTAAAAAAAAAAAAAGCAAATCAAAAAATATGTGTCCATGAGCCAGGCATGGTGGTGCACGCCTGTAATTCCAGCAGCTTGGGAGGCTGAGTCCAGAGGATTTCAAGTTCAAAGCCAGCCTCAGCAAAAGCGAGGTGCTAAGCAACTCAGTGGGACTCTGTCTAAATAAAATATGAAACAGTACTGGGGATGTGGCTCAGTGGTTGAGTGCCCCTGAGTTAAATCTCCAGTAAAAAAAAAAATGTGCCCGTGAATTTGTGTACTTGAATCTCAAGTCTGAGTGTATCTATGAAAGTGTGTGTGTCAGTGTGTGTACTTGAGGGTAAATGCGTGAATGTATTTGTTGGAACATGGATTTGTGTGGCAATATATATGCCATACATCAGTGTATTAAAGAAGGTATACAGTGAATAAATAGCAAGTCTTGAAAGTTGCAATGCCCGAGTGAGTATCCTGGCTCTACCACTCACCACATAACCACCTCTCTGCTTCACTTCCCTCACCTATAAAATGGGTAGAATAACAGCATCGACTCATAGGAGGAGTTAAATGAGATGATATGTGGAAAGCACTTGCCCAGCATTACGGCACTACGTAAGGGCCAACTATTAGCTTTTAATTAGATAATCAGGTGGGTGTTTGTGCAGATGTGTATAAACAGCATACACGAGGGGTTGTCCAGGCCTCCAGGATGTGGTGGCTTACTGGCTAGTCCAGCTGTCCTGTGCCTGGCTCTGATCCCTTCTCCCCTGCAGGCACAGGTGGGTGGCACAGCAAAGGAGGAATGGACTGTGGGCCACCTGCGACCCTCCAGCCCCACCTGGCTGGGCCACCTAGTACTGCCCGCCGCCCAGTAGCTGTGTGCCAGCAGGAGAGTCTGTCCTTTGTGGAGCTGCCCAGCCTGCAGCCCCTGAGCCCTGTGTGTCTGGACCTCTTCCCCGTCGCCCCGGAGGAGCTACAGGCTTCTGGCAGCCGCTGGTCCCTGGGGACCCCTGCCCCTCTCCAAAGGTTGCTATGGCCACCATCCCCAGGAGGCCCAGACACCACCAGTGGGGGGATGCGGCCCAGCAGGGCAGGCAGCTGGCCCCACTGTCCTGGTGCTCAGCCCCCAGCTCTGGAGGGACCCTGGAGTTCTCAGCACACACAGCCACAGCGACGGGCCAGCCATGGCTCTGAGAAGAAGTCAGCCTGTGAGTTACCCTTCGGGGAATGGCCCACTGGGGCAGACAGGGGAGGGGGCTGGGTGGGCTCTTTTTGAACCCCTTAAGCCCCAGAGTTCCAGGACAAGTGGCAGATCTTAGTGATTAGGGAACTATAGTGCTCAGGGAGGGCAAGTGACTTGTCAAAGGTTACACAACAAGTCTCTGGCTGTCCTGGGCCCTTGCCCTGTGCTCTCTACCCCTCTTGATGCTTCCCCGGCCCTGGGCACCAGATCATCACAGAAACATCAGCCTTTCTCTTGGGCATGGGGTCTGAACTCCCTGGGATGCTCAGGACCACAGGGCAAAAGCAGGAGACAGGGGTTGGAAGAGACCTCAGTAGGTGCCAGCCTGTGCTCCCATGCCCCACAACCACAGGGCGCAAGATGCGAGTGTACCAGCGTGAAGAGGTCATGGGCAGCTCCCAGGCCCAGGCTGTCTTCCTGGAGCCTGGGCAAGCTGCGCAAGAGAGGCATTTGAGCGCAGAGGAGCCCAGGCCACTGGAACTGTCTGGGACTACCAGGGCTGGCCTTGAGGGGCCTGAGCGCAGGCGCTTCTCAGCCTCAGAGCTGATGACCCGGCTGCACTCTTCTCTGCGCCTGGGGCGGAATTCATCAGCCAGGGCACTGACCTCAGGAGCAGCTCGGGAAGGTACCAACAATTCCCCTGGTCCCTGACAGCCCTGGGTGAGCACATGCTGGTGGGGCATGTCCAACTTGCTAGACACGGGGACACTTGCCACTGGGTGCTGGTTGAAAGGGTATTGTGCCCTGTACCCTTGGGACCACCCACCCTCAGCTCTTTCTCTCCCTAGGGAAGGCATCTGGAAGGGAGCCCAGAAGCATAGAGATGAGGGTGGACAGCATTTCTCCGCCACCACCTGTTGACCCAAGCGAGAGCCACGGCGGCTTGCTGGAGCCCAGGTAACCACCATTCACTCGGCTCGGGTCTGAGGCAGGGTGCAGCCAAATTAGAGTCCTGACACTCTTTCCTAGGCTGGACACGCAAGAAGGGCCGCCTCCAGATCCTAGAAGAGCCAACGAGCGGCGGCAGTCACGATTCCTCCTTAACTGTAAGCGGAGAGGGTCTCTGGGAGGGATCACGAAGGAAGAGGCTGGGGTGTGGAAACACCAGGGTTTGGAGAGGTGGGAGGTTGAGATCGTGTGAAAGAGAGAATTGAATTCTCGAAATCTAGCACTGGTGCTACCGCGCAGTTGGCGCTCAATTAGTGTCAATGGAATGAATAAATGAGTGAATGAATGAATTCATTGTGTCCCAACCACTGCAGAGGCTTGTTAAGTGAGGCTGGCTCTCGGGAGAACCTGGGAGGAGCCGTGCCGGTGCCGGCGGGCGTCCCACGGCCCTACCCGTGTCCCTCCCCCTCCCAGCTGTCCTGTACCAGGAATACAGCGACGTGGCCAGCGCCCGCGAACTGCGGCGGCAGCAGCGCGAAGAGGAGGGCCCCGGGGACGAGGCGGAGGGCGCGGAGGAGGGGCCCGGGCCACCGCGCGCCAACCTCTCCCCGAGCAGCTCCTTCCGGGCGCAGCGCTCGGCGCGAGGCTCCACCTTCTCGCTGTGGCAGGACATCCCCGACGTGCGCGGCAGTGGCGTTCTGGCCACGCTGAGCCTGCGTGACTGCAAATTGCAGGAGGTGGGTGCCGGGACCCGGCGGGGCGGGGCGGAGGCGGAGCCTGGGCCGGGTGGGCGGGGTGGCGCCCTCAGAGGGTAAGTAGGTAGGCAGGGAGCGGGCCACAAGTAGGTGGTCCTGGGACTTAGAGCGGACCGAGTCACAAAAGGACCGAGCGGCAGGGTTGCCCACACTGAGGACCGGGGGGTCCTGGAAGCTAGGACAAGAGAAGTAGTGGGGCCAAAGGCAACTAGAGAAGCTAGACTGGGAGCGTGAGGGGCGGAGCCAAGGGAAGCGAAGCCTCGGATAGGACAGGGCCTGAGGGGGGCGGAGCTATCGAGATAGCCGGCGCTGGATGGGGCGGGGCCTAGGGCAGGGGCGGGGCTGATGGGGGAGCGCTCCGCGGGCGGGGCAGGCCCCGATGAGCGGAATGGGGCAGGTGGGCGGAGCTAGAGAAAGGGGTGGAGTCGAGGGCCGCAATTTGGCTCCTACAATTGCCTGCGGCAGGAGGCGGGACCTTGGGCCCCGCCAAGAACCAGATTAAGGGTGCAATTAGAGAAGGGACGGGTACAGGTTGCCTGTGGAGGCGGCCTTGGGGTTGGGGGATTCCAGGCCAGGATCTCGAGGTAGGCTAGCCTGGCCCTTACAGCCCCGTATATCCTCCCTCAGGCCAAATTTGAACTGATCACCTCCGAAGCCTCATACATCCACAGCTTGACAGTGGCCGTAGGTCACTTCTTAGGCTCCACCGACCTCAACGAGTGTCTGGGGGCGCAGGATAAGCAATGGCTCTTTTCCAAACTTCCTGAGGTCAAGAGTACCAGCGAGAGGTGAGGGAGTGATCTGGCCTGGTGGAGGTGGGGACTGACCCTGTGGCTGGCACACCCCCAGATCTGTGGGTTCTGCCCTGGCCCTGAGCCCTGGCCCACCCCTCAGGTTCTTGCAGGATCTGGAGCAGCGTCTGGAGGCAGATGTGCTGCGCTTCAGTGTATGCGACGTGGTGTTGCAACACTGCCCTGCTTTCCGCCGTGTCTACCTGCCCTATGTCACCAACCAGGCCTACCAGGAGCGCACTTACCAGCGCCTGCTGTAGGGCTGGGGGCTCTGTATGGGGGAGGAGGGAGGGAGGTCTCGGGGAGCACAGAGGACAGGGTGAGGAAGTGTAACTCTGAAGGGGGAGGGGTCCCTGCAAGGGGCTCTGTGACCAAGATAAGTGCCACCTGAAGAGCCAAGGAGTAGTGGGGTGGTGGACACCAGGAGTTCAGGCCTAGGGGTGACTCCCCTCCCCATTTTATAGCTTGGAAAACCCCAAGTTCCCCAGCATCCTGGCTCGTCTGGAGGAGTCCCCAGTATGCCAACGACTGCCCCTCACCTCCTTCCTCATCCTGCCCTTTCAGAGGATCACCCGCCTGAAGATGCTGGTGGAGGTACCCAGAGGGAAGGGCTGGGCAGGCAAGATCATGGGGGAGGGAGTGGCCTGTCTCATTTTGGAATCTCACCTCTAGAACATCTTGAAGCGGACAGCCCAGGGCTCCCAAGATGAAGATATGGCCACCAAGGCTTTTAATGCACTCAAGGAGGTGAGCTCAGTGGGACAGGGCTGTTGGGCTCCTGACCAGCTGTCCTGGACTCCTAGCATGTCCTTTAAAGAGCTTCCAGCTGTGGGGGTCTCTGATTCCTGGGCAGAGGCCTGAGGTGGGCTCTGGTATCCTGGGCTCTGGACAAGCGGCTTGCAGGTGACCTGCCCCTGGCCTCCCCAGCTGGTACAAGAGTGCAATGCCAGTGTGCAGTCCATGAAGAGGACCGAGGAGCTCATTCACCTGAGCAAGAAGATCCACTTTGAGGGCAAGGTATGTGGCTCTTGTTTCCTCTTTCCCCTGGGGACTTCAGGCCCCAGTGTCATTCCCATACCCACCTCCCAGCTTGTGCTTTCTGTCTGTGCCCCTGAGCCTCTCTTTGTCTACTCCATCCTCCAGATCTTCCCGCTGATTTCTCAGGCCCGCTGGCTGGTTCGGCATGGGGAGCTGGTGGAACTGGCACCCCTGCCCGCAGTGCCTCCTGCCAAGCTGAAGCTGTCCAGCAAGGCTGTCTACCTGCACCTCTTCAATGACTGCCTGCTGCTCTCCCGGCGGAAGGAGTGAGTCTGGGTGGTGGGCAGGTGGATCGGAGCCAGGCTTTCTTCTCCTCCATCAGGATCACTGCTAGTGGCCTCTCACAGGACTTGGGAGCCCCAGCTTGTGCCAGGCTAAGCTCCCTGGGCACCGTGAGCTCCCTGGGCACCCTGAGCATTGGAGGCTCCTAGAACACAGGTGGACAGTGAGGCCATTGTCCAGATGGGAGAGTCAAGGGCTGGGCTGTGTGCAGAGGATATGAAGCTTCAGCCAGTGAGATCAGAAATGAGCAAAGCCCTGAAGTCCAGCTCTGCCCTGAGTCAGTGGTAATAGCCAACATTGACCCAGGACATGTTCTGGGCCAGGCGTGCTTCATGGATTCCCTTCAGTCCTCCAGATACCTCTCTGGAAATTAGGCTCCCTTGTTATTCTCAAGATTGGGGCACTAGTGAATGAAGGACCCAGAGGTAACCCCCTCTGTCTGATGCCAGAACCCATGTTCTTACCTACCACACCGCCCTAATGTCCACCTGTAAAACAGGCTACCATGTAGGCACATCCAGTGTGACAGTCACTCTTGAAAAGAGCTCAGCTGGGTGCCTGGGCCCAGGGAGCACTCTCTCAGTCCTAGCTGTGATTATCCCAGGTGAGGAGGGATCAGAAAGAAGAGCTCGTAAGCTGAAGGCTGGATGGGGTGGAGAGAGGGCATCTCAAGCCATGAGAAGAGTTCATTCCTGATTTTTTGCTCACTTGATAAACTGTCACTGAACTTATTCTGTAATGGACCCTCTCTGCTGAGTACTGGGGACATAAATATGCATGACAGTTGCTGTCTGCTCACAGGACTCTCAGACCAGTGAGAATACATCCTGATAATCATGTCATGTGGGTTTAGATGGGAGGGTGTGTGTGGTACCTCTAGTGTGGGGTGAGTATTGATAAAGCTGCACAAAGGAAGGGACATTTCAGTTGGGTTTGTAGGATGAGGAGAAGTTTTCCAGGTAGAGTAGTAATTTGGAGGAGAGTATTCAGCAGGGCTGTGGGAGTTTATGAGAGGACAGTGTGGTTTTTAAAAAATTTTTTTTTTTAGTTGACAGTGGCCTTTTATTTTATTTATTTGTATGCGGTACTGAGAATCAAACCCGGTGCCTCACGTGTGTTTGGCAAGTGCTCTGCCACTGAGCCACAACCCCAGGACAGTGTGTTTTGGAATGATGAACCTCCTGTGGCTGAATTTATAGAAGAGAGGTCAGGAGAGGGCAGTTGGGATGTTGCAAGTTACAGTGGAGAGGTCAGACTTGTCCTGGGGGCAGCAAGGAGCATGGAGAGCCAGGAGCAGTGTGACTATTGCTCCTGCCAATCTGAAGGACGGCCTGGAGCAGGAGAGACCAGAAGCCCTCGCAGTCGCCCAGGTGAGCGTAGGTGCCCCAGGGGTGGCAGGGTGTTTCAGGGTGAGAGGATTCTGGGGACAGTACATAGGAGGGAAGACAGGTCAGAGCTACCATTTGGGGGGGAGGGTGCATTGACACCTGACTTCCTCTGGGGCAGTTGGTGGGGTTCTTCCCTAAAACAGGGAAAGAGAAGGGAATTGATTTGGAATGGCAGATGCTAAGATAAGGAAGCTACAGGACAGACTGGCACAGTGGTGCCACTCAGGATGTTGCAAGTCACAACTGTAATCCCAGCAACTCCGGAAGGAGGATCCCAAGTTCAAGGCCAGGCTGGGCAACTTAGTGAGACCCTGTCTTAAAAAAAAAAAATCAGAAAAAAAATGAAAAAATGAAAAATCGGGCTGGGGATGTAGCAGAAGCTGTGGGATACCCTGCCCACTTTCCACCCTCCTTCTCACAAGTGTTTACTGAACCTCAGTGTTTACTGAGCCAGGCAGTGCCCGGCTGTAGGATGCAGGGCTAAGAGGCAAGGTTTGGCCTTCTTGGAGCTTCTATACCAGTTAGGGAGTCGACACCAAACAGGAACGCATCTAGTTGGGTCCTCGCAGCAGGAGCTGGGGCAGAGGTTCAGGGAAAGCTGAAAGTGTGCCTGGGTCAGAACTGGTCACCACTTTCCCCCTCCATCAGCGCCGCAGTGCCTCCTGCCAAGCTGAAGCTGTCCAGCAAGGCTGTCTACCTGCACCTCTTCAATGGAGCTGCCAGTTTCTTGCTGGCCCCTGGAGGAGTGGCACCCTGCGTGGGCGAGGTTCCCTGGGGAGGCTGCTGGAGGGGCAGAGACCCCTCTCCCTTCGGTCATCTTACCTTGTCCAGAGGATGGTGCTAGGAGCCCAGGCCCAGGCCAGGCTGACCTCCTCCTGTCCCGCAGGCTGGGGAGGTTTGCCGTCTTCGTCCACGCCAGGATGGTGGAGCTGCAGGTGAGGGACCTCAGCCTGCAGCTGCAGGGCATCCCAGGCCACGTGTTCCTCCTCCGGCTCCTCCACGGGCAGCATGCCAAGCACCAGTTCCTGCTGAGGGCCCGTACAGAGTGAGTGGCCAGGGGAGGGAGGAGGATCCCGAGTGCCCAGAGCAGCAGATGTGTCCGACTTGGGGGCCAGGGCCAGGCCCTGGGTGTCTTCTGGATGCCAACAAATACCCCTTATCTCTGGCTTCAGGATGGGGCAAGGCAGGACATGGGCAGCGCTAACATCCTGGGGGCTCTGGGGCGGAGCAGACGTGGCTCCTGGGTTGGACATCGTTCTCCGTGACCTGGTTTCCCTCACCTCTGGGCAGTGGTATTTTGCATGTTGTGACAATACAGCCCCCTCTTCCTTAGGAGTGAGAAGCAGAGGTGGATCTCAGCCTTGTGCCCCTCCAGCCCCCAGGAGGACAAGGAGGTCATCAGCGAGGGGGAAGGTAGTAGCGTCCACCCCAACCACCCCCATGTCCCTTGGGCTGGGGACCTCACTGCTTTCTCTTCCTCCAATCCTGGGTGGGCTGTAGGGAGGGAGACTGGCAGCCTGGGGTGGTTAGGGGTGGCTCAGAGGACCCTGGAAGGCTAGGCAGGATTGACACGGGACAGGCCAGCCTTGTGGTGGGGGCAGCACCAGGAATCTCCAAAGTCCATTCTGCATGTTAAAGACAGATTCTGAGTAGGGAGGGGATTAGTCCAAGTTCACCCAGCTTGTAAGTGGCAGAGCTCTCTGGAGCCAGGGTCTGCCTCTGTCTTTGCATCAGTTGCAAAGAGAACGGTACCAGAGTGGCGGGCCTGTGGGTGGTGGAGAGAGAGTGGGGGTCTGCTTGGTTGATAGAGTCACCTCCATGGAATCTGGGCTGGGGAGTCACGGTGCTGCCTAGTCCCAGAGCACCTTGCTGGCAGCCAGTTGATCTTGATGGCTCTGAGCAGAGGCTTCGGGCTGAGCTTTAGGAAGGGATGCGTTTAGGAAGGAAGGGATGCGTTTCCACCAGCACCTGCCACGCGCCAGGCCCAGGGCTAGGACCTTTGCATTTGCATTTATTTTATTTAATCTTCACCACAGCTCTGTGAGACTCATTTTCTTCATTTTTCATATCTGCCCAGAAAGGTTAAGTAACTTGCCCAAGGTCACAGAGCCAGTAGGTGACAGAGCTGGTTTAGATGCTCTAACCTGTGGCGTTTGGACCTCCTGCCCACCTAGTCTGTTGGAAAGGGTAGGGCCTGGAACCACAGATCCTCTGGCTTGGGCTGAGTCCCACTGGCTGGCATGAGACCCCTACTCCAGACAGGTGGTGAGGGCACGCCCCTGGGAAGTAACCTCTGAGCCTTATGGGACGAGGAGGGCAGCCATGGACAGTCCAGGAGGAGCACTCCTGGCCGACCACACAGGCCTGTGGGCCCAGGGAGGTCTGAGGATGTTCTCGAAGGAGGGAGGGAAGGGTGTGGCTGGCATCAGTGCTGTCAGGGGACGTGTGACGCCACCACTATTTCCTGAGTGGCGTCTGGAGCAGTTGGAGGTTGGGGTCTAGGGGTCAAGGGCAAAGTGTGGGATTGAGCTGGGAGGTGAGAGCCTTGGCCAGAGTAGTAACCAAAACGTGGAGGGACTGGACCCACCAGGGTTGTACTGCAGGAAGAGGGCGCCAGGTCTTGCTGATGACCTGCGGCGGGGAGGGACAGAAAAGCTCCTCTCTTTGCTTTACATTTTCCTACTACCCCTCCTGCCCCACCTGCCTGGGATTCCCTGACCCTCCCTTGGGCTGTAGACCGCCCTCAGGTTCAGTGTGTCAGGACGTACAAGGCCCTGCAGCCTGATGAGCTGACCCTGGAGAAGACTGACATCCTGGCAGTGAAGACCCGGACCAGTGACGGTGAGCGTGTCCCCCTGGAAAGCACTCCCGGCCAGGGCTTAGACATCACAGGGAAAGATTATGCAAAGGTTGATAAACCACAGCGCGTGTGGGAATCAGTTAGATAAGAGGAGGAACTTCCTGCTCCTAAAGCTGTAGGATCTAGAGTGATGGGGGGAGTGGGAAATACCCTTCTCAGAGGTGTCAATAAAAACAGGTCAGTTTATCTACAAGACAGCTAGGACATGCTGAAATGATGTCACCTGGGCCCCAGGCTTGCATCAGGCGGAGGCTTGGTGCCCCTCTGATGCTACCAATGCTGCTGTCGGCTGTGTCCCCAGGCTGGCTGGAGGGGGTCCGGCTGGCCGATGGCGAGAAGGGGTGGGTGCCCCAGGCCTACGTGGAAGAGATCAGCAGCCTCAGCGCCCGCCTCCGGAACCTCCGGGAGAATAAGCGGATCACCAGTGCCACCAGCAAGCTGGGGGAGCCGCCCGCGTGACTGGCACCCCTGGCCTGGACAGGTCAGGGGCCTGCAGTGTCTCCACACTCCGGGCTGCTGCTGCGGCTGGCCCTGCCATCGAGGGTGCAGGCTGGACCGAGGAGTGGGGCCTCCAGAGGGTCTTCCCTGTCCTGTGCTCCTCGTGTCCACACTTCAGGGCCACATGTGGTTCTTCCTGTGGGATGGGGGCCATGACAGGCGAGGACGCGGCCCTTCCCGCTGTGCCCTCCACCCTGCCCACCTCTGGGCCCCTCTGGCAGGGCGCTGGCTGAGGAGTACTCTGGTGCTGGTTGGTGGGTGCTGGGACCTCTGTGTATCTGGAGTCTTCTCTGCCCCCTCCCCACGGCGCCAGGTTGGGGCTGGTGGCTGTGACCTGTCTCTGGATCCTGGGAGCCTGCGCACTGCCCCCCCCCCCCCGATTCCTGCCTGAGACCAGGAGCGCCTCTGGCTGCTTCCCCATGGGTTTCCTTTTTCCAGAATTCTCTGGTGAGGAGGGGGCTGGGGACAGGCGCTGCATGGTCAGGCTGCCTTCAGCTGCCATCATGAAACGTTGGGTTCCAACAGCTGAATATTAAAGAGATTTTATTAGTTCTTGGATTTGTCTCCTATCGGTTCTGGGTGACTTAAATCAACAGAAATGTCTCTGTCCCAGCTCTGGAGCAGGAATCTAAAGTCCAACATCGCTGGGCCCACGTCCAGGTGTTGGCAGGGCTGGGCAGGGCTGGGCTCTACTGGGGACCCAGGAGAGGGTCATCCTGCCTCTTCTGGCTCCTGGTGGCTGCTGAATTCCTTGACTTGGAGCCACATCGTTCCAGGCTCTGTCTCTGGGGTCACCTTCCCTGTTCTGTGTGCCCTTGTCAGATCTCCTGCCTCTGCTTACGGACATGTGAATGCTCCTAAAGTTTGGCGCCCACCCAGATAATCCCCCATGTCATCATCCTGCACTGGAACAGGCAGAGCGGGGTGCAGTGGCACATGCCTGTGATCCCAGGGACCTGGGATACCGAGGCAGGAGATCCCAAGTTTCAAAGCCAGCCTCAGCAACTTAGCAAGGCCCTGTCTCAGAGTAAAAATAAAAGGGGCTGGGGGCATTGATCAGTGGTAAAATGCTTACCTAGCATGTGCCAGGCCCTGGGTTCAATTCTTGGCATCTCAAAATAAATAAATTAATAGATCACATTACAAAGATACCCCTAATCTACTATTTTAAAAAATCATTTAATCATTTTTGAAAAATTAGTTTCCAGAGATTAGGACATAGATATACTTTGAGGGGTCATTTTTACCATAGTTTTTATACTGAGCACAGAAGAGGAAAGATGGGCTTCAGAGTTGGCTTGATCAAGTGGCTCATTGATGTCACTGAGGACCCAGCTCTCTCCATTTCTCGACTCCTGTCCTTGGTGTTATCTTCCTCTTAGAGCTTCTAGGGGCTTCTTTGTTCCTTTTTTTTTTTTTTTTTTTGGTGGTGCTGGGGATTGAACCCAGGGCCTTGTGCATGCAAAGCAAGCACTCTACCAGCTGAGCTACATCCCCAGCCCTGGGGCCTCTTCATTCATATCCAACATGGAAGAAAAATGTCTCAGTGTTCCCAAAGTCCTGGGAAGTCTTTTTTTTTTTTTAGTTGTCAGTGGATCTTTTATTTATTTAAATGCAGGGATGAGGATCGAACCCAGGGCCTGACACATGCAGGCAAATGCTCTACCACTGGGCCACAACTCCAACCCCACTCCTGGGATTCTTTCTGACTGGACTGCTGGGGTCGCATGGCTTCCTCTGTGTTGATGTAGGGGATGGTTTATGCTGTTAGGTGTAGACTACGTGTCGGTCAGCTTTTCATCGCTGGGACAAAACACCTGAGATAATCAACTTTAAAGGAGAGAAGGTTTATTTTGACTCAGGATTTCAGAGGTTTCAGTCCAGGGTCTTTGGCCCTGTCACTTTGGCCCTGTGGCAACATAGTATGTCAGGGTGGGAGCGCGTAGGGGAAGACGTCTGCTCACCTCAGGAAGTGAGAGGGGAGAAGGGGTCCCAGTGTCCCCTTTAAGGGCACCCCTCCACAGTGACCTAACCTCCTCCCACCAGTCCCACACCCTATAGCTCCACCACCTCCCAGCAGAGCCCCGGGCAGGGGACCAAGCCTGGGACACGTGGGCCTGGGGGGACTCTCAGATCCAAACCACAGCACACCAATCACATGCTCCTCCCTGAGGCCTGGCTGGGGTCAGCTGCCCTGGAGTCCAAGTGGCCCCCAAGCAGGATGGGCAGCTGCTGTGAAGCAGGGTCCATGTTGAGGAGGCCACTGTTGGCGAAGTCCAAGCCGCCAGGAGAGTGGGAGGAGGTGGGACAGTGAGCTTTGAGAGGTGAGCGGGGGACAGGGGGCTTGCTTCAGCTTCCAAAGGAGGTCACTGGGGGAGGAAGACAGATGTCTACCCTGCCCCAGGGGGCAGACTAGGGCGGATGGAGAGAGGCACAGACCCAGGGTAGGGCTTGGGGAATGACTGAAGTGCCCTGTCGCTCAGTTAACCACACCCCAGCCCCACGTACCATGTTTACAGTCATTTTAAGTTTATTTATTTATTTATTTATTTATTATTATTATTATTTATTTTTTTGCACAGCTGGGGAAGGAGCCCAGGCCTCACCCCTGCCCGCTCCCTACCCATGAGCCCCACCTCCGGCCCTCCCGCTTTTTATTCTTGAATCCTGTTGGGTGTACGGGGAAATTGCAAGGGGAGGGGTCCCATCCACCCCCTCACAACCCTCCCCTGGAAATGCCTCCCAGGACGGGGTCCCTGTGGCACAGCTAAGGACCCCTCCGCACCCCACCGCTAACTCAGCTGCAGACTCTGGGGGGGTTCCCAGTTTGCCCTTTTCTGCTCCCGGAGCCCTCGTTGCTTCCGGCTGCCATGTCTGTCTGTCTCTCTGGTCTGTGACAGTTTCTCCGTCCTTCCTTGCTTTTCCTGACCTTGTACATTTTGAGGAGTTCTGGTCAGTGTTTTGCCGACGAGCCCTCAGGTCAGGGTATCTGATGTTTTCCTCGTGACCAGACCTGAGTGATGGGGTTTGGGGACAGACAGACCGCATCTCGGCAGGGGGCACATGCTGGCCCGGGACTTGCCACGTGAGCTGGTTTTGTTGGTGTTTTTGTGGTGCTGAGCATTGAACCCAGGAGCACTTAACCACTGAGCCACATCCCCGGCCCTTTTTATTTTTTATTTTGAGACAGGGTCTCCCTAAGTTGCTGACGTTGGACTCCAACTGGTGATCCTCCTGCCTCAGCCTCCCTCGTAGCTGAGATCACAGGTGTGGGCCACTTCTCCAGGCTTTGGCCTTTTTAATTTTTTTTTAAACCACTGAGCTCTGCAGCCCCAGCCATGTTGGCCTCGACTATGTGGGTAAGGTGGTGTCTGCTGGGTTTTCTACTATGAAGCTCCTCTTTCTCCTCTTTCCCATACTGTTCCTTGGAATCAAGTCGAGCCCACAGGGCGTGCTGCACTCTGGGAGGATGCATCTCCACGTGTTATTTGGAATTCCTCCTCATGGAGGATTTGTCCCTTTCCCTTCATTTATTTAGTCAGCCGTTTCTTCTAGCCGCGTGGACTCGTGTGTCTATGCATTCTAAACTCTGGGCTGCAATCTAATACTATGGGCTTGTCCAGTGGCTCAGATTGCTCCAGCTTTCTGCCAGGTCTCTCAGGTCACCTCCTGTGACTGTCTGCCTTGCCCACGTCCTCTGAGGTTTTGAGCATTTCCTTGGTTTTGGCCACTGCAGGACACTCCAGGCTCATCTTGCGTGTCTCCTGCCTCCACGGAGGACTCTGCTGTATCTCCAAGGAGGGCAGGCTCCACTCATTAGGACAGTGGTATTTAGACACCAAGACCTGGATGCTGGGGGTGCCCATTGCTGCAGAGGCACCTCTCTTCAGCCATGGGAAGTGTGTGCACGCGCTTGTGTATGTGTGTGTGTGTGTGTGCATGCACGCGCGCACGAATCATGTGATTTTAGACAAGGCCCCAAGCTCCTCAGAGGGTCTTTAAGTCCCTGAGCCTCAGTTACCTCAACTGCAAAATAGGGTACCTATTTCCAGAAGCCTCCATGAAAAGAAGTGTTGGACACATCACATGCCCTGTGAAGAAATTATACCAAGCGACAGCTTTTATGGCACCAGAGCTGCCCAGTCAGAGCACAGGCCTTGGAGGTGGTGCGGCCTCTGCCCCTGGAGGACTTAAGGCGCATGGACAGCGTGAGGACAGCTTTCCTGTGCCTTCCCCAGCGCCGAATCTGCTCAGGGAGAGCCGAGGTTGACATCGGCTGGCAGAGCAGAGGCCCTCCCACGTTTCCCTGCCCTGGCACATCTGATTCTGGCCTGTGTCGGGGCTGGGCTAGACTGCTGGCCCCGGGGGCTGGCTTGGGGGTGCTGCCAACAGGGCTGCCCAAGGCTGGCTGGCCCACTTCCCTCCCTCCCTGCCTGCTCCCCCACCCAGAGAGTAGGTCCAGACCAGGCCTCTTGGAGGCCCCTCTCTCAGGAGCGCCTGCCTCTGCCCAGTAGGCCCTGCACTGGCATCTGGCCTTGGCCAAGGACCCAGGGCCCTGCCCCTGCTTGCTGAGGCGGAGGAGGCTGGAGCGGGTGGTATTGGACAGGGCAGGAGGTGGAGGCGGGCATGTCTAGGGCAGGTCTGGCCTGGGGCTGTCTGCCCAGCCAGTCTCCAAGCCACGTGCCTGCGGGAGCCAGCACACATGGCTTCCAGGGACTGTCTCCCCACCAGCACCCACGCCCCTCTCTGCTGCCCATGACCTCCCCAGGTCCCCAAACTCTGAGCCTATGTAGATTTTTGTCCTGAAAAATAATTGAGAGAGTGATGTATACCGGTTGACAGTGCAGCCCAGTGGTTGGGCACTTAGTATAGGCAGGGCCCGGGGCTCAGTCCCTGGCACCAACAGAGGGGGGAAAGGGAGGGGAAGAAATTGCTCAGTGGTTTGTTCCCATGGCACAGCCTGGTTTTGGGGAACCAATGAGCACAGCTTCTGACTTGGTGGGCACTTGTCTGGGGCTGCAAGCCTGGCAGAGCACAGCCCTGTGTGCTTCCGCCCTCCCGCCCTCCTCCTCCCCTTCCCTCCTCCCTCCCTCCTCCCTCCCACCTGCCTCCTCTTTCCAATCTCCTTCATTCTCCTCCCTCATTTACGCCTCCTCAGGACCAGGGGACACAGTGCCAGTCTTTGTGGCGTCCCCTACTGGGTAAACAGGGGAAGTACAGGACTCTTGAATAGCTCCCCAGGATTGGCACAGCCAGGCAGGCAGGCAGTGGTGGGGCGTGAATGGGCACCGCCGCTCTCAGACAGCAGCCCAGCAGCTTCACTAGAGCTGAGCACATGCTGAGCGCACAGTCCCTCCACCTTCTTGGTACACACTCGACAGAAATGGGCACATTCAAGTCCCCAAAGACGGGAACTGGCACCTAGTGCAGTGGTGCATGCCTGTGATCCCAGCAACTCGGGAGACTGGGGCAGGAGGATTGCAAGTTCTGACCAGGCTGAGCAACTTAGCAAGACCCTGTCTCAAAATAAAATAAGAGGGCTGGGGATGTGGCTCAGT